TTTGTTTTATTAATTGTGCTATGCCTAATTTAGGGCTCAGATCAGGGGTCTCCAAACTTGGCAAATTTAAGACTTGTGGATACAGCCATGCTGGCTGAGGAATTCTGGGAGGTGAAGTCCACAAGTCTTAAAGTTGCCCAGTTTGGAGAACCCTGGCTTACATAGCAGTTTCATATGCCTTCTGCCTCAAACAAAGTAGGGATATGTGTTGATAGTTTTCAGACATCATATTGATGGAAGGACTCCAAGGGCTAATAACATACTCTTATGTTAAATCCAAAGCAGACCATAGTCTTAGCATCATGTGTGCATCTCTAGCCAGTCACCAATGCATGTATTTTATGTTATCTGTGAAACAGATATTTGTTAGATATTTGTTTTCAGGAAACAAGGGATTCCTCAGCCCAGAAGATTACAGTAGTTAGTTAGCTAGAGAGTACCATAGAACCGCAGCCAACCTTAGTTAATCCTATGCTGATTTAGAGAAGTAGAATGTATTATTTTACCACGTTTTATCACTAAGGAGCAAGTAACACTTCCCTACCACAAGCAGCTCACAACTAAATTAGCTTTCTTGTCTGCTGGAGACTCTCCTTAAGCAAAAGAAAACACATCCCAACTGAGCCTGTTTTGAAACTCACCACAAATTAACTTAATTTAAGGGCGCTTGTTCGGCAAACAATATCTGTGATATTTGTACTTAATGCTGGCTTTCAGCCTGGCGTGGTTCGAGTGTTTCAAATGACGTGCTGTTAAAACTCACTTTTAATAAAGCCAATGGCAAGTGAGCCTGAAAGCACCCCAGCGCCAGAGGAGGGAGACGCTGCCTGACAATGCCTGGCCAAGGAGTTCCTCTCAGAGCCATAAATTTTCTCACTGCACCAGGGCGGCTCAAGTGTAGAGAATCTCTGAAATGGGTCATTTGTATCTTTGGAAAGGCCGATTTAAGCTTTTAACCATCTGGATGAGAAATGTTTAATCTCAGGCGACAGATGGGCTATTCTTGGAGGCAGGCAGGGCATATAGGAGCTTTCAAACCAGGCCCCCTACCAAGGCCAAAGTCAGCCCACCTCTGAAAATTTGCTACCAGAAGGGCGGGGAAGAAACACCAAGGGTAGGAGCCGTGGCCACCGGTTCTGCTGCTCCTCTATCGGATCTTCAATCACGAATTAGGGAAAGGCAGGCCATTAAAAAGCCTTCTGAAGTATTTGGAGCTCCAAACAGGGGTTCTTATTGAACATATAAACTACAGGCGACTTACAACAGCACTGAAAAAAGTGGCTTATGACTGTTTTTCACACTTGTAAGCATTGCAGCATCCCCATGGTCACACGATCAAAATTCAGGCGCTTGGCAACTGACTCATATTCATGACGGTTTGCAGTGTCCCCAGGTCATGTGATCACCTTTTGGGGCCTCCTGACGAGCAAAGCCAATGGGGAAGCCAGATTCACTTTACAACCATGGTATTAATTTAACAACTGCACTTAACAACTGTGGCAAGGAAGGTCATAAATTGGGGCAAAATTCCCTTAACGGTCTCATTTAGCAATGGAAATGTGAGGCTTAGCTGTGGTCGTAAGACGAGAACTATCTGAATTCCAAAGCTATTCTAACCATTCTAGAATTGTTCTGAAATGTAATGCAGCTGTTTATAAATTTAATAAACATTTATACATATTAATCTTCTACAACCCCTAATCTGAAGGATGCAGCACGTGGCAGATTATAACACAAATAGCTACACAATTGACATTGTCCAGCAAAGTACAGCATAAAACAACAGAGAAACGGTTCTAATCTACACACCAAACAAATCAATGCTATCTAGACAAGGTGACAATTCAAAAGCTTTGCAAAAAAGCCCTGGCTTAACCGCCTTGCAAAGGGATGACAGGTTCAGTTACCAGAGGAAAGTTATTTCACAAAATGGGGGGGCGCCACATAAAAGCACCTTCTGGGGAACCTGTGCTTCTAGCCTTTTTTCTTTTCTTTTTTCTTAATACCAGGAGCACTGAGCTCGCTTGCGTCTAGGCAGCCCTGCAGATTCCTGGGAATCCGGCCAGCCAACAGTCTCAATTGTACCCAGAAGCCCATTAAAAGCCCATGTAGTCCTGCAGCCCAGGAGTTGCAGTTACAAGGCTGAAGGGACTCTCACCTGCCAGCAGGTGGGCTCCTATCTTCTGTCCTCATTGAAGCTTGGAAGCTGTCCTCCAAAGCAGCCCTGGGTAAAACGCACATCACATTTCTGTAATGAATTCTGGGAGTTGAAGTCCACAAGTCTTAAAAAGTTGCCTCCCGATGAGAGAATGAGTGATTTTTGTCTTCTTCAGTGATGGGATTCAATTATTTTACTACCGGTTCTGAGGGCGTGGCTTGGTGGGTGTGGCAGGGGAAGGATACTGTAAAATCTCCTGTCAGAGGTGGGATTTTTGCTGGTTCTCTGAACTACTCAAAATTTCCGCTACCGGTTCTCCAGAACTGGTCAGAACCGGCTGAATCCCACCTCTGGTCATCTCCTTCTCTTTCGGTGTGACCGCCCAATGACTTAAAAAAATAAAATAACCCAAGAACCTGCTCCATTTTCTGTTAACGGACAAACTAAGAAAGAGCAGGTTATGAGTCAAACTTAGCCCTAACAAGGAAAGGGGCGGAGGGGGGAGTTGGTTTTAGATTTTTTTGTTTGTATTGTTTTTTTGTTTTCCCAAATTTTGTTCTGTTGTACTTTACTAATTTATGATTTTTTGTTAGTTTTTATTGTTTTTATTTTTATTTTCTGTTTGAAATATGGTTTTACATTGTGTAAGCCGCCTCGAGTCGCCATGGGCAAATAGGCGGCAATATAAATTAAATCAATCAATCAATAACATCAAAGATAAAGTGAATTTGCAAAGACACCGTCCTGGCCCCCATTTTTCACCTGCCACGTAATTCGGAACATTCCTAAGAGAAGTAAAAGTGTCCAAGAATCCGTTCAAAGGACGGGAGCTATTAGCTTACGGTAGTTAAGCCCCGTTATCCCTGTGGTAACACAACACTTTGAGGCATCAAGCCGCTGGGATGGTGGAGGAGCTGGAGACTCGCCAAACAGGCTGGGCGCCTTCCCAGCTGGGTCATTACAGCTAACTAAGTGGAGATGGGAGTTGAGGAGGAATTCAAGCTCTTGAGATAAAGGGAGACTCCCCCCCCCCCCCCCGT